CCGCTACAGTCCTGTTAACTCGCCACCAAGGCAGCCTCGGTATCCGGTGCCTAACCATCGCCCCCCCAGAGCCTCCAGAGGCCGGGGGGCAAGGTGTTGAGGGTCTGGGGCCGGCTGTCGGTTATTTCTCCCAGCAGCAGCTCAACTACTGGGTAGCTCAAGCTTCAGACCCCTGGGTGGTTTCCACCTTAACCCAAGGGTACAAGCTTCAGTTCCGACGCCGACCCCCAGCCTTCAGCCGGGTCAAAATGACCACCATAAGCGACCCGGCAAAAGAAATCGCCCTAAACCAGGAGCTGTCAGTCCTCCTTGCCAAAGGAGCAATCGAGCCTGTAGACCCCATCTCAAAGCCTTTCTTTGAGATGGCCATCTCAAAGCCTTTCTTCCTTACCAGGAAGTAGGTCGAGTAGGGCTTCTACTCGACCTACTTCCTGGTAAGGAAGAAAGGCGGTGGACTTCGCCCAATCCTAGATCTAAGGGGACTCAACAAGTTCCTAAAGATCTTACCTTTCCATATGCTGAGCACAGCGGACGTTCTTCGTACCGTTGCCAGGGGGGAATGGTTCACGTCCATCGATTTAAAGGACGCTTATTTTCATGTGCCTATTGTACCTCATCACAGGCAGTTTCTTCGCTTTGCCTTCAGAGGCCGTCATTTTCAGTTCAGGGTGCTCCCATTCGGACTCTCCCTCTCCCCAAGGGTGTTCACCAGGTGTGTCGCGGCAGCCCTATCACCACTGCAGTCTCAGGGTATGAAGATTCTGCCATACTTAGACGACTGGCTAATCTGTGCACCGTCCCGGTTGCAGTCAACCCAGGACACGGCTCTCCGTCTCTCTCATGTCACCCGGCTAGGCCTCAAGGTGAACATGGAGAAGAGTTATCTGAACCCCTCTCAGAGCCTAACCTTCATTGGGGTGGCTCTGGACACAGTCACTATGCGGGCCTGTCCATCTGCTCAGCGCCTGGACAACATTCTCCAGCTTCTTCCCCTCTTCAAAAGGGGCAGGTCTCTGGCATTTATCCGGTTTCTCCGCCTCTTGGGCATGCTGACAGCTGCCTCAACTGTCATTCCCTTGGGCTTGTTATCACTGCGCCCCCTGCAGAGATGGCTGAACGGCCTCCACTTAGACCTCAAGTTGCACAGGCACAAAAGAATCAGGGTGTCACAACAGTGCCTCTCCACTCTATCCCCATGGAGGGAGAGGTCATATATGTCGAGGGGCGTGGCCATGGTCTCCGTCCCTTTCCGCAGAGAGACCGTTACGACGGATGCCAGCCTCTCGGGATGGGGTGCGGTGTGGCAAAACAGGACAGCCCGGGGGGGGCAGTGGTCTGTTCTGAACGGCACGGAATACATCAATGTGCTAGAGCTACGAGCTGTGCACCTAGCACTCAGGCACTTCCTGCCATACCTAAGGGGGAGGCATGTGCTTGTCCGCTCGGACAACACTACAGCGGTGTACCATATAAACCACCAAGGGGGCACCAAATCTGCACGCTTGCTAGAGGTGTCCCAGACTCTCCTGACCTGGGCAGCTCCTTGCCTGGCCAGCCTACGGGCAATGTATCTGTCCGGAGAGCAGAACCAAGTCGCAGACTTCCTCTCCCGTCACAAGCCCCCACCAGGGGAGTGGTGGCTTCATCCAGAGGTGGTGGCCAACATCTGGGGTCTCTTCGGCAGGGCAGAGGTAGATCTCTTTGCCTCGAAGATGTCGACCCACTGCCTCCTGTGGTTCTCCTTGAGCGAGAAAACCAGCCCCTTGGGTCAGGACGCCCTGGCTCATTCATGGCCAGGGTGTCTTCTCTATGCCTATCCACCCCTCCCTCTGATCCTACCAACACTCCTCAGAGTGCTTCATCAGGGCCACAGGCTTCTTTTGGTGGCCCCCTTCTGGCCAGCCAGGACTTGGTTCTCCCTGCTGCACAGACTCTGTTGCGGGACACCTTGGCGTCTCCCCAACAGGAAGGACCTCTTGTCTCAGCTGGAGGGTCAAATATGGCACCCCGATCCCTGCCGCCTCCAGCTGTGGGTCTGGCCACTGGAGGGCCCGACCCACTGCTGAGCGACTGCATAGAGCCTGTCAGGAGGACTATTCTCAATGCGAGGGCACCATCTACTCGTAGACAGTACGAAAACAGGTGGAAACTGTTCTCTGACTGGTGCCAAGGGCGAAATGAGGACCCAGTACATTGCTCGGTGCCTACTATCCTTGAGTTCCTACAGTCCCTCCTGGATGACGGCCGGTGTCCCGCTACCGTCAGGGTGTATGTGGCTGCTATATCAGCCCAACATGCAAAGGTTGACAACAGTACAGTGGGGAGCCATAGACTGGTATCCCTCTTTTTAAGGGGAGCACTGAGACTTCGCCCCCCGAACATCCCAAGGGCCCCTTCATGGGATCTGCCCTTGGTGCTGGATGCCCTATGTTCGCCTCCCTTTGAACCCTTGTTAGAGGCAGAACTGAGGTGGCTCTCAGCCAAGACTGCTTTTCTTCTTGCCATCACCTCAGCAAAGCGGGTAAGCGAGCTTCATGCCTTGTCTGTAAACAGCTCGTGTCTGAGGTGGAACTCAGATGGCTCAGGTGTCACCTTATGACCGAACATAGCGTTCCTCCCTAAGGTGCTGACACGCTCTCACTTTAATCGGCCTATCCAGCTGGCAGGGTTTGACCCCCCATCAGGAGAAGGGGAAGAGAGGTCAAGACTCCTATGCCCGGTGAGGGCCCTTAGAGCTTATGTCCAGACTACCGCAGGCATGCGTCAGTCTGACCAGCTCTTTTTATGTTACGGTGGTCCTAGAAAGGGCCATGCGCTCTCAAAACAGCGCTTGTCCCACTGGATCGTGGACGTCATTGCCCAGGCATACAGGGCGAATGACCGTCCCTTGCCACCCAGAGTAAAGTGCCACTCTACCAGGAGTGTCTCCACGTCATGTGCGACCTTGAGAGGTGTGCCCCTGGAGGACATATGTGCTGCGGCCACATGGGCATCTCCGAGCACATTCGCCAGATTCTACAGGGTGAATGTTGCCGCCCCTCACCCGCTGGGTGTGGTCCTCCTGCAGAGTCCGCCTAGACCATCCTTATAAGGTGAGTATTCAGACTTCCTCGTGACTCTGTTGGTATAGGTCATCCAGTGCTAAAGCACCGCCTCTGGCGGTCAGTAGGTATGAAATAGAACGATAGTTACGTATGTAACTACGGTTCTATGAATACTGGATGACCGCCAGAGTTCTTGGTCACTCGGAATTTCGTGTTTCTGCGAGAAGATTCCATAGGACTGAACTCGTCGACGGCACCGGAACGTATGCCTTCCGGGTCGTACGAGGTCACACGTGACTTTGTTGATATAAATATTCGACCTACGCATGCGCGAGACAGAAGATATCCAGTGCTAAAGCACCGCCTCTGGCGGTCATCCAGTATTCATAGAACCGTAGTTACATACGTAACTATCGTTTGATGCTTATACTGTTCTTTTTACTTTTAATTTTGAATGCAGGACTTTTACTTGTAACAGAGTATTCCTACACTGGTACTTTTTTATTCAAGTAGCCTACAAGATCTGAGTACTTCTCCCACCTCTGTCACTCGTGCAACCAATACGTTATAGAAGTCACATCATTAGTTTGTCTGTAATTTAAATTGATTAGACATACTCCTGTATATGAAAATAAGTCAGTATTGACAAAGCCCTACACCACGAACACAAATAAGCACACAACCAACTCTAAGAACTCATTGTTAGTAAAGGACAGGGTAAGTCACAGCAGCAAATTTGCCCAGAGCAGGCCATCGTAAAATAAAGTGCATAAAAGCTCTGGTTTAGATGACTTAGCAGCTGTGGTTTTACCTTAACTATCTTGTTTGTGCATACACTTTCAAATCAACCGCATAAAAACACACAGAAGTCCAATGCATTAGTGTGTGTTTGAGTGGAGCAGTTTGTTTTACGGAAAGCCAAAACAGGGCATTTGGTAGATAACTGGTTTCACAACCGCCTGAATGACGCTTATCAGTTGTTTCCACATATTGTTCGTGGCAGGAAACCATGCATCTTAAACCCAGAGTGGTGACGTTTGGATTGCAAATCAGACGACATCAAGTTTGTGGTGGTGAGTAAGTGTTCCAGATGGGTGGGGGATCTTTATCGTGCACGGAAAAGATTGATCAAAATCTATGGTTCGGGGTGAGGAAATTCACATTGTATGTCATGATAGGTAATGTAGCAACTGATCATGAACAACAGTCCATTAATGGCAACAAATATTAAATGGCAAAGGTTGTTTAACCAGTAGAACCAATAAGTGTGCACAATGCAAAAAAGCTGTAGATCGATTGCAAATCAAACTTACCGTAACTGTTGTTTTATAAAGCACTGAAGGTTTTAGTGCCAAAATACATTTATGTTCTTCTGCTACATTCGTCTCCAGGGATAGGTGTGCTTTCTATTAAATCAATTCATATCTTACACTACACCACAACTTTTATTTTAAATTAGTATTATTTGTTTTATGTTGTACTCCTCTTTTAATGTATTGAAATAAGGTGCATGTTATCTTTATATGATTTTTGGAAAGCATTTTGAATAGTCTTTTTGTAAAAATGTGCTATGTAAATAAACCTTGCCTTAGGTATGATAAAGAAAGCCTGTGTGCTGAGCAAGGTATGATACATTCACAAGATGCCGGAGGTTGGAACACAACTCTTTCCAGTCATAATAAACAAGAAAGTTTACCTGAGTGTTTAGGGAAGTAAGACTTTAGCTTGGAGCAATGCCAAGAAGCATAAAATAAGGATAAGTATCAGAAAGATACAGTCTAAACCTTTCTTGAGAAGCACTTGAGAGTCACAACTTCCTTGTTAAAAGTTGAGACGATTGGGCGGGGTAGTATTTGAACAAAAAAAACAAGGATGTTTCACACGAGGGAAAATAGGAAAAACACAGACGGTGAAAAGTGCCCTGAGCTGCAGACACAGTTACCACGACACAACCCACAAGTTTAAAAAACTCAATTATTTGTTTATTAAACTTCTATCTTTATGCAATCTGTATATATAAAAGTTCTAAAGTCATCAGCCTGAGACTAAGACAGACAGTGAGGCGATCATGTGTTTAGTCCTCATTATTCATTGACCAGCGGCCTGTGTGACAGACGTACGTTAACAAAACGGTAAAAACATGATGAACACAGAGTGAAAGACAAAAAAAAAGGACCACACAATGATGTCTTGTGTAGCAGGAGTGATTAGAAGTAGTCCATGATAAAAAGGAGCTTGTGGACCTTGGAGTAAGCAGAATAAATAACATTATCGTTGGGTTGCCCACAGGTCAGTCTCTCTTTGTGCTCCGCCGCGAATGACTGGACACTAGCATCAGGCATGTTCATTTTTTTTAGTTTGTTTTGAGCGGTGGGCAGTGGATGTGAAGATGTGCTCCACAATCTGGGAATAATACCACATGCATTTCCTTGTTGACATTTTAAATGACATGTGTAAGAATGAAAGTGAGAGGCATAATAGTGTAACAATGTGTTACTTTTTTTAAATCTGTAAACCACCATCTCATTTCTTATTAAACATATCGACCATAATACTAGGAATTTTTTGATTGGTGGTTTTAAACATAGCATATTTCTTCATGATTATTATTATTAATCAATTTTTTTTCAATTCTCTTAAATACAATATTTTACATGTCAGATTAAATACGGCTTAGTGTGCATGATGTGTCTTGGGGCCAATGTAGTGGATGTTCTTTCCCCCACTCTGTTTCTTGTGTTCTGTGATGGTGGGATGGGTTCTCCATAGAGAAATGTATACTCCACAACACCTGGAGGACCAACACCTGTGTGTGTGTTTTCAGTCACTGTCACTGGTCTCGCTGCTGGGGTCTCCCTGCACCTTGCTGCGGTGTTGCATGGCGCGGTGGTAGGCCACCTGCACGGACTTGCGGATGTTGGATTTTCGGCCTTCCAGCATTTTCTCCTTGTCCAGTTCCTGGTCCACCCCAAGCGGCACCAGCTTAGAGCGCGGTAGCCACTGCCTGAATAAACACAAATATATATCCAATTAATACATTTTAATAAAATCTAAATAAGAATAGTTCCTCTGCAGGTAATAAAATGTAATGTGCAGGACATTTTACATTCATATTCTATTTAATATTGAATAATCCATTCTTGCACAATAATATCCTGCATTATATTTGTAACTGGAAATGTCTATTTCCACATGTATATATATTTTAAATTGTTTATCTTTTAACTTTTTAATGCTATATTATTTATATCTAAATCAGGGGTGTCAAACTCAATTTCATCTCGGGCCACATTAGCATCAGGGTTGCACTCAAAGGGCCAGTTTATATACAAGACTATAAAAAATACATATATCAATATTTAATATATATAAAATAATGTATTATATTACATTATTGCCTCTGCATTGGATTATTATCGGATAGGGTAATAACTTCATAAGTCTCTTCAGTAAGAATGTCACAAAATGATTTAAAAAGAAAAGCCAAACTCTGAAAAAAATAAGTCGATATAAAAAAAAAAAAGTGACATTTTGAAAAAAAAGTCAGATTCTGAGAAAAAATGAATATTTTGAAGAAATAAAGTCAAATTCTGAGAAAAAAAGTCAAATTTGAGATGCATTGTGCTACATGTAGTTTATGGGCAACGTGCTTCTGTAAATCGGCATGCAACCTTATAATAAACATATTCTTTGCAAGCTCCCGGATTTGGCCCCCGGGCCTTGAGTTTGACACCCCTGATCTAAATTGAATAATTCCTGGGTCAGCAGTTCAACTTCTAAGAGGATCATCAAGAGGGACACTTCCTGTTGTCATTATGTTTCTCATACTTTTGTTTTTCTTCGAACTTAAAAAGGAACATATGTGATGGCGCGGCAAACCATGACCTAAAATACGAACTGTATTTCCCCTCCCGCTTTAAAAAATACGGCTGACCTATTTCTGCGTGTGTTCCGACGCTTGAAAAAATGGTGCAGTTTCCTTTTAACTACTGCCACAGAGTGATGTTTGTGCACACCTCCAGTAACTAGGAGGCCTGTTATGCTTGCGTTTTATGTTTTACTGTACTCATAATTTAAGGGCGAGAAAAAAAAGATGCAATGTCAGTGAGAACGAGCGAAAGAAGAAACGACCTTGATTGATAATGATGACAATACAACTTATTAAAACAAAAAGAGAAGAGAAGATGTGCAGAGCACTGACCATGTTCTCTTGTTGTCAAAGAAGAGCACCAGGAACAGGTGCTCCCGGGCCTCCTGGGTCATCTGCTCCCCTAGTTTCAGCACATCCAAAGGTGGGACAGGGATTGGGACGCCCCGGTGGAAAACCCCCTCCCTGGGCATCTTAGGGTCAATTATCTGAGGAAGAGAAGAGGACCGTTAGACACCCAGTCGTTAAGCTGCAGCGTGCCCTTACTTAGTCTGTGCTTTCTGCAGTGTCCACTTGTTTCTCACCAGAGCCGGATATGAAGGATAGCCTCTGCACTTGGCCCACACCAGGTCCAGAGCTTCAAGAGAAGAATAATCATCAGAAGTCATCCAGCATCCTGACCGGGCCCGACCCCGCACCACTGAGGTGTAAGTAAACAGGAACAGGAAGACAATCTCCGTTGTGTATCCTCTAGCTAAACCAAGGTTCTCTACATAATCTATCTGCTCTGAGATTACATTACAAACTAAATCCCTTTCCTTTTAAAGGTGTGAGCCAAATGTTGTAACTATCTGTTTCTGTAATGGGGCAACTAGGCTGGGTGAGATCCTAGAAGACTTGAGTGCTGGGTCGGGGCTAAACAAATGGTCTTAGTGCCATTTGAGAAAAATACAACATTTGCCCCCAGGAAAAAACATGATTAGTCACAGAACAACCTTCAACAAATGTCAGTTAGATCGTTTTGATAAGTACTTACTGATACAGTATCATGACAATATCATATAAGTTTCCACTGGTAATTAAGAGTCAAATCAGATCAAATAAAAAATGACTGCTATCATATCAGATTGATTACACACACAAAACAAATGGCTGTTTGGCTGTACTGAATAACCATCTGCATTCATATTCAAATAGTTCCGAGAAGACACTTACCGTCTACTTAAAAAAACCGTAATAACGACAGTGTGCTTACAATGTGAAACGGGCCGCGATCCTCCGACGGAGTAGGAATCGTTTTCAGTGCCCGACGTCTCCTCACTGCTGTCCTCCTGGAAGGCCGAGCGGGAGAACGACGCCTTCCCTCTGCCCTGCTTAGAGGGGGTCGTACTGAGAGAGGAGAGACAGGAATATACTTTAATTCAATCTGTAGAAAATGCTATCAACCATTGCTGTTAACACTCACATGCTTTAGTAGTTGCTAAACAAGAGGTTGCAGGTAAACGTATTATCTTGTCGTTTTCTTCTTGAATCAAAGTGTATTTTTTAACTAAAAAATAAGGACATTTGAACGCTGCTGCCATGTTGATAACAGATTCACAAAACAAAAAGTTCTAATTTTAAAAGTTGAACAGTGCACTAAAATATGTTTCTGAAATCTTTGCGTTGAGAAATAAGCATTGCTGTAACAGAATCATGATTCATATTTCAGTGTACCACATTTGTTTCTGATCAGGCACTGACTCCAATTTCATTAGAGGTGAGAGGGGGACATCCTTTTTTCCACAGACATTATCTGTCTAATGCATTACTGTCAATACATAGTGACAGTTTGAGCAGAAAACTGATGGTTGAATAACTTATTTAACTCTCTTAGCTTATTTTAAAGAGATCAGGAAACACAGCTTGCCTGCATCATGCCTTTCAAATTTCCAAAAGCTTAATAGTTAACACACTTTATCTTGGTTTCTGTAGATAAACGATAATGTAAAAAACCACCAGATGCTGTTTTACAAGGATTTACATGTTTGAACCGTTTCTTGGTGACTTCCTGGTGAAATCAAAGTGATGACAAGACTCCAGGAAGTCACTTGAAAGCAAGTACGCTTTATAAGCAACATGTCAAGCTGTTATTTTAGAGCTGCACAAAGTGATGTGTGGGTCTTTTGAAGGCAGAAGAACTCCTCCACAAGCTTACACACTGCTTGTGTAAGCTTGTGTAAGCTTACACATGATATCACCTTATGAAGCCGGTGCTGCTCATGTGTCTCGTGTTAATCGCTAGCTATGGCTTATGAGAGCGCTGGGAGTGAGCCATACTTGTAAATGTGTGCTATATATTCACCTGGTCCTGTCTGAGGCCGCGCTGCTGCTGCTGCTGGTGGTGGACTCAGAGTCTGAGCTGGATCGAGGGAGACGAGACTCACTGCGGTACACACAGAAGCTCTCCTTTACTGGCTGGGTTCCCCCGTTGAAACCGTTAGTTGGCAAACCTGAGGAGTGCAGAGAGTGAGGTCAGTGTGTGTGACTGAGACGCTGTAATAACGTTTAAAGGTCCCATGTCATGGCCATTGCTACTGATCATAATTCCATTGTTGAGGTCTACTAGAATAGATTTACATTGTGCAATTTTCCAAACTCACATTGGTTTCTCATACAGCATCTCTGTATAGTATGTGTATTCACTCTCTGTCCTAAATGGCTTGTTGGAGCTCCTGCCCCCCCTCCCTGTGAGCCCAATGGCCGTCTGCGAGACAGCGAGACACAGCAAAACCCAGCACACACACACACACACACACACACACACACACACACACACACACACACACACACACACACACACACACACACACACACACACACACACACACACACACACACACACACACACACACACACACACACACACAGCCTGACTGTGAGTCTGTGTGCCACAGCCTCGCCGCGTCCCGCCTACTCAGGGAGGAGAAATCGGCGGAGCTGCAGCTGAGAAAAGATTGAGTGTGTGTGTGTGTAAGGAAGTCCGCGGATTGGTCCATTTGGACCAATCCACGGACTTAACGTAACGGCTCCGCCAATGGGTCCATTTGGGTATGGGCACGTCACTGTACCCAGGAAGAAAACAATGGAAAAAGAGAAATCTCCAACGAGGCGTTCTGGGGCATTGTAGACAGGTCTTTTCTGTGTTAGAGTTTTACTCGCTACATGGTGTACTTTGAGGGTTTGTGACTCTGCAGACCGTTTACATGCAGAAAAACCTTCATAACACACAAGGGGACGGGTAATAACCAGAAAAGCATGACATGGGACCTTTAATATGCATTTATCCAAGCTACCTGGCAGCATGTCGTCGTTGTCACTGTCGCTGTCAGAGCTGGAGCTGCTGCGGGGGCTGCGGGGTCTTTTCCTCGGCCTGCTGGGGGACAACATGGGCAGCTGGGGGGGGCCGATGGGGCTTTGCAACCCCACAGCGTAGCCAGCGTCCCGGTTCTTCGGGGGGCGACCTGGCCTTTTCGGAGGTCCAGCAATTTTATGGTTCTTTTTGGAGAAGAGGACAGATGTCCGACGGCCCACCTCTGGAGCCAGGGCCGATGAGGACACACTCATGTCTGGTGGAGGAGACGGGTTTATAGGTTCAAATGACAGAATATTTAATAGCTATTATATTTTTTCATTCACATTCAAGGAACACATGACCCCAAAATGAACTTCAATTACTCACCCGACGTTACGTACAATTCTTAAAGAAAACATAATTTATTTAATGATTTTTGAGACTTGGATTATACTGCACGTGTTGTCTGAGAGTTTGTAAATGGATGTTTTGATATAGCGTTGCTGTTTATAAAGTTTAATTTAATGATTTGTTTGTTTGTACTTAATTGAAGGTGACAAGGGGTGAGTGCTTGATATTTTCCCTAGACGCACCTTTTTCACCGATCTCCTGGCTGCTGCTTTCCCCCCCTTCATCGTGGTGTCCCGAAGAAGACGGGTGATGGGGGAGTCCCCGGTCTCCTCCCACAGAGTCCCGGCCCCCCATCCCAGAGCCCCCCTCCTGCTGGTGCACAAGCTTCCTCTTGATGACGCTGATCTCCTTTCTCAGAGCTTTGGCTCGACGAGACTGACCAATGCTGTGCTTCCCTGAGCTGACCTCATCGAGGCGCACCTGCAGGTAGTGCAGCTGCTCGTCCAGAGGCAGCCGCCGCCTGTTCTCCGGCAGGAGCAGCTCTGAGAGAGGCAGGGGGAGAAAACCTGTTAGACATCTTCAGAGAAAGTGTATGAACACGGGGGAAGTTAAACATTAAGGGGAACTTACAAGGATGTTGGTTGTTTCCTGATACAATTACTATGTGACTAGACATCTGACAACATTATGTTAATGTGTATGAACAGATTCATCAGACTTAATCTGAGGTTGTTCTAATGGTATTGTCTTATGACATATGCCCAACAAGACAACTTAATCTAGTAAAACAGATGTAAAGAAGTTGTATTTACAGCGTCAAATGAATAAGAACCAGGTTTATTAAAGCAACATGAATGTGTGAAGTTTTTAGCAACTAAATGGGTGAAGATGCTACTGTGTCTAACAAGTTTTTTCTCTTCAATATATTTGCTTTCAGCATATTACTCCACATATTACTAATACTGTTCCAGTGCTATATGCTCATGACAAGAAATGTTACTGAGATTTGATCAGTGAAAGAAAAGAGAAAAAAAAACCTACAATAACCAAGTTCAGCCCTGAAAGCGAAACTTCTAACTCTTATTTCCTTATTTTGCTTAATCTTTACTGCACACATGACTCGTGGTTACTCGTGGTTTGCCTGTTTTAACTTGTATCTCACATTTCTATATCACCCAAATTCCCCTACAGTAATAACAGTAACACTTGTTCCTGAAAAGCATAATTCTACAACAATGTGAACATTGTTTTGTCCCAAAATGCAGGGTGTCAGTTGGCCACTAAATGTGGTCAGACGACCTGAATGTTCTCTTTGCCAAAGTCAATTTTGCAATAAAAAATATATTTTTCCTCTCTTAGAATATTCTTTCACTTTGTTGCTTGAGAAAATAATGCTTTTTGCTATCATAAATCCCCAGCCAAAGTGAAGAGGTTCACTCACCTTCGTCATTAGAAGACAATGGCCTGTCTCGATCTCTGTCTCGATCTCTGTCTCGATCTCTGTCTCGATCTCTGTCTCTATCTCTGTCTCTGCTTCGCTCCCTGTCTCTGCTTCGCTCCCTTTCTCGCTCCCGTTCCCGTTCTCGCTCCCGTTCTCGCTCCCTCTCTCTGTCTTGGTCTCGCTGGCTGTCAGGGCTCGGCTCACGGGGGAGGTGTAAGCCCGCCTCATAGTCGAAGCCTATCCGCTCAGCGTGGCGTCGGGCAGTTCTGATGACGGACCCCCCCATCTCTCTGAGCCGCAGCGCCGCGCGGTAGAAGACTGTGTCCTTGGCGTTGTACTTGAGACAGTTGTTGACGATGAGGCCAAAGTCTGACTCAAAGGAGTCAAACGTGAGGTAGCGATGGGACTCCAGCAGGTTCCACATGGTCTGGAAGTCCATTGGAGTGTCGATGTGGTCCAGGTAGTCTGGCACCTGGAGGGTAGAGATCAGGAGGAGGAATGTTTTGATAAGCTCCTGATTATGTATGAGATTTTTCAGTGTGTGTCGATAGAAGTCAGAGCGAACGTCGACAGGTCAAAGAAGTCCCATGACCAATACTGGGATTTGATGCTGCTAACAATATGAAATAATGGGCAAAATAACAGCTAATATATTAATATAGAAATCATATGGATAAAGAAATAATAAGATATATACTGTACATCAATAACATGATATACACTGAGGAGACAGACATTATATTTCAATGTAATCAGTAATAAGATTAACACTAATAATAATAATCAATAGATTACATTTGTATAGCGCCTTAAGGGACCCAAGGCTGCTTTACATGGTGAACAAACAAACAAACAAGAGGGGCAAATAATAAAGTTACAATTAAATAAAAAGCGGTAGGAGTGGACAGTGATATGGAATGAGGACCCATCACTAAAGGGAACATGCACACCTCCTGGTGTGTTTGAGTGGGTGCGTTTACCTCTGCCAGCGGAACAGGCTCAGTGAAGAAGTTGTTGATGTCTCTCTCCTGTAGCTGCTCCAGCGTGCTCCTCAGCAGCACCAGGAAGGGCGTCAGCTGCATCTCCAGCGCCATCTGCTGCACTTTAATCTGAACACACACACAATTCATTAGCAATGTACACCTGCTGACTAAACATAGAGAACTCTGTGTAGTAACCACTTTGCATGTGCTTAGAAATTCTATTTAAATGTACAAATGTACCCACACACTCATATGTATGGACACTAAGCTGGCAGCAGACTGGCAGTGCACATATTTCATTTGGGTGGCATGCTTAAATTGTGGATTGATGAGTTGCTGCGTGTGCCCTCAGGTAGATTGTAATAAAATAGTGAATTACTTTTATGACCCTGAGGACATCAACATTACAAACTCAGTCTTTAACCAATAGGGACAGCAAAGAGACATTATATCCCTGCAACAGCAAACTCCCTTAAAATGTTTAAAAGCAAATAAAAAATAAAATCTTTTTAATTTGGGTTAACTTTACATTCCCACTGGTATCATTGTCCATGTTTTACTGTACTGTTTCTGTTTTGCTTTTAATTAAAAAATTGTTTTATTTTAACCAATTTTAATTTCTTCACTGCAAATGTTTTATCTTGTTCTGTATTTATTTTAATATTGTTTTTCTTGTTCTGCTTGGTGCTATACAAATAAAGTTTATTGTATGAATATTTGTTTATTATTTGGACCTAATTCTTGAGGTGGTGTTATCTACACAGGGGCACGTAGGGTTTTGATACCTGGCATTGACAGAACTAGAAGGTGTTTATGTCTCACCGTCTCCCTTTTGAGTTTTTCCCTCTTGCGTATGAGCTCCACCAGCAGCCGGGCTCTCTCCAGGTCGTGTCTCAGTCTCTGCCAGGCCTTCAGCTGCTCCTTCAGAGCACAGGGTTTCTCCTCGTCGTCCGTCTGCAACACCAACACGCATAAACCCATAGCCATGTTAGACAACTGAATGACAGAATATAAGTGACTAAAACGTGTAGCTGAATAGTGTCTTCTTTACAATGTCACACGGCTCCGAGGGGAGTTGTTCTGGAGTTGGTGGTGAGAGGGGCTCAATGTGTCGTTGGGACTGCAGGTGGGTTTGTAGCCGGCGTAGCAAAGGCACGCCGTTACGACTCTGCCTCTTCAGGGTCCAGTAGCTGTGGAGGCGCTGCATGAACTGGCTCTTCCTGGGTACAGTCAGGTTACTGGTGATTTTGCTCAGCCTGCAAAGAAACAAACAATACATTAACTGTTGTACTCAACTGTTATATTTGCAAAACTTTCTTCATTGTTACCAGGAAAGTCTTATGTATTATTTTTGTTGTTGTTGTGTTTAACAGAACAGCACTTCTAATATCCTACTAAATTCTGTTAGCTGTAATTAGGCCCTTCATAGTGTTTATTGGAAAGACATTGTCAACATGTATATATTTGACTTTTTAGTCCTGTTATATTTTCTATTTTGAGATTATTATATTTTATGTTTGCTTATTTTCTACTCTTTTTATTTTCACATGATGTGCAATGCCTTGTTTTAATTTGAGGTAAGATAAGTACATCTTATGTTATCTTTCTAGAGCAGGGGTGTCAAACTCAAGGCCCGTGGGCCAAATCCGACCCGCGACCTCATGGTATGTGACCCGCAAGAGCTTGCAAAGAATATTATACACAATACAATTAGTGTAATTGTTGAATATTTGCTTTCAATTATTTGCCCTAGACTTCTGCTTTCAGACGTAGTTATTTATGAAGTTACCAGAACTGATAATAATCCAAATGCAGAGCCAATATTGTAATAATACATTTTTTAATATACATTATATATTTATATATGTATATTTATATAGAGAAGCCAAGAGTGTGCAAAGCTGTCATCAAGGCAAAAGGGGGCTAATTTGAAGAATCTAAAATATAAATCATATTCTGGATTTTGTAACACTTTTTTGTTTACTAGATAATTCCATGTGTTCTTTTATAGTTTTTAAGTATTTAGTATTAATCTACAATGTAGACAATTATTAAAGTAAATAAAAACCTTCGAATGAGAAGGTGTGTCCAAACTTTTGACTGGTACTGTATATTTATATAGTTACAACCGGCCCTTTGAGTGTAACCATAATGCTAATGAGACCCGCGGTGAAATTGAGTTTGACACCCCCTGTTCTAGAACATTCAGAGATGCCAACCACAGTACCCTAAGTCGTCCTAGTATGTGATAATGTTGGTACTAGTTATCCATTTACAGTTTAGCACAAGCTTTGGAGAACACACAATACAGACAAAAATAGTGTGTAAGCACCTGTGGGGGGGTATGCAGGGCACAGACACCACTGGCGCTGCAGCTCTCCTCTCAGCTAAGATCTTCCTCGCTCTTTTCATCTTCAGCCTGGACTTGGCTTTCGCCCTCTTGGCTCGCTCAGAGCTCCAGCCCTTGGAGTCATCATCGTGGCAAATGCTCGGCTCGTCATCCTCCTCCAGCTCTCCTTCGCTGTGGGAGGAACCCATGCTGGCGCCGCCTACTCCTGCAAGAGGTCGTGCTGATCCTGGCGGCGTGTGGATGTCACAGTAAGCTGTCTTTCGTACACTAAAAGAAGTGCCGTTGGCCCCCGTCTCTCTGACCGGCTCCATTTTCATGTAGAGGCCCGCCTGCTGAGCGCAGGTGACGTGGAAGGCTGTGTAACAGTTGGCTTTGTGACACTGGATGCAGGCGCCTGAACCTCGCTGCTTGCAGATGTAGCAGGTGAGCTTCCAGCGTGCGGGGGGAATGTGCTCAATACTGTCTATCGGCTCCAGGAAGACTGTGTTGGCGAAACAGACCTGAGGAAAGACAGCAAAATGTTTTTTTATTTCATCACTTAGTATAACAAGACAACAGACTGACTGAGCTCTACTAACGCTGATGTTATTTTATTAGTCTGAGTGTTTATCGTTATATAAATTATGCATCTAGCACTTTTTATCAAACCACTTGCACTCCACATTGTCCAAACTCTGCCAAAACAACCATCCACATATGTCCACTAAAAAGATACATCGTGCTCACAGGCCTGGACTTTTCTATGCATCAGATAATAATGTTAAATACATTATTTTCCCAACGACTAAATGTAAAGCAACTTTTGTTCTGAAGGAAACAGACAAATACTAATAGCAGTGAGCAACACACAGGGTTCATGCTCTTTTTCACTAATGATTTTCAAGGACTTTTCCATGACCTTTACCTAATTTTCCATGACCAAAAAAAATTACTTTTTCTCAGCGGTACCACTGAAAATGGTTTATTTTAACATGGAACAGGAAAATAAGGTCTGCATATGAAACATGTTGTGCCTATCTAAAACAAATCAAATAGGCTTACTAGCTTCTACAGCTAAAAGCAACTAAAATCTCTCACCAGCAAAATACCTCGACAGTTAAATGCCATTTTACGTTTCATTACTATACGATACAGTATTTATTATCATTATAGTATTACTATTTCGGCGATTAGATAACATATAAATTATATTTGATGCAACTTTAGTTACATTTCCATGACTTTTCCAAAACTTTGGGAAAAATATTGTTTTCCATAACTTTTCCAGGGCCTGGAATTAGCATTTTGAATTTCCATGACTTTTCCAGGTTTTTAATGACCGTAAGAACCCTGAACACAGCACAACGCAGAGCACCTCAATATCTGCAAGCTTATGTAGTTCTGATGGAGAAGGCATGGAGTGTGTGACTTTACCTCTGGGATCCAGAGGGCACAGACAACATGCGCCCAGCGTGCATCGTCTGTCTGTTTGAAGGCGCCTCCCTTGTTGGGACAGAGAGCGCAGTCCACAGCTCGACTCGGCGACTGAAGGCAGCGCCGACATAACCACTGGCCCTCTGGGATGTAGGGCACACCGTAGCACTCTTGGTGAACTGCCAGGTTACACATGTCGCAGAAAAGGATCACATTGCTGTTCTGACACTCCCCGTCGTTACAGATGCAGCAGACAGCATCTTCATCGATTAGGGTGCTGGGGTCAGCCTGGGGGAAAAGAGGAGAAGGAAGAGTTGAAAAAATTCTATATGTTTCAATGTTAAAAAAAAAATGTCTTCCCCTCAGATGCCAAATTGATGTACCTTGTTGTGGCTCTCAAAGTAGGACTCCTTCTCTAGGCGGTCCATGAGATACTCAAAGACCTCCTGAGGAATGGGAGTGACACCGTCGCGCCGCCGCTTGTCGTTCATGATGTCCAGCCAGATGTAGTCTTCTTCATCAATGTCGTACTCTACCTCCTCATCCAGCTCCTCCACAGACTTGTCAATGTACCTGAACCCCAGAGCAGGAAATAATGTGTATATTAATTACATAGTAGTATATGTAATTAATATAGAAAAGGCAAGGCAAGTTTATTTATATAGCACCTTTCAACACAAGGCAATTCAAAGTGCTTTACAAAAAACGAAAGACATTAATAAAATGGCATTTAAAATCAGTCATTAAAAAGCAAAGATAATAAAATAAACATTAAAAGAAAAAATACATGGATAAAAGTTACAGTGCAGTCTAAGATATGAATAGTTCAATTAAAAGCAGCGGCAAAAGGAAAAGTCTTCAGCCTGGATTTAAAAGTAGTAAGAGTTGCAGCGGACCTGCAGGTTTCTGGGAGTTTGTTCCAGATATTTGGAGCATAATAACTGAACGCTGCTTCTCCATGTTTAGTTCTGAGTCTGGGGACAGAAAGCTGACCAGTCCCTGAAGACCTGAGAGATCTGGATGGTTCATAATTTAGCAGGAGGTCAGAAATGTATTTTGGGCCTAAACCATTCAGTGCTTTATAAACCAGCAGCAGTATTTTGAAATCTATTCTTTGACACACAGGAAGCCAGTGTAAAGACTTCAGAACAGGAGTGATGTGATCCACTTTCTTAGTGTTAGTGAGGACTCGAGCAGCGGCGTTCTGAATCAGCTGCAGCTTCCTAATAGATTTTTTAGTGAGACCTGTGAAGACACCATTGCAGTAGTCGAGTCTACTGAAGATAAAAGCATGGACAAGTTTTTCCAAATCCTGCTGTGACATTAGTCTTTTAATCCTAGATATATTCTTTAGGTGATAGTAGGCTGATTTAGTAACTGTTTTAATGTGACTGTTGAAACTATATAAAATATAAATATATGTATAGTGTACAGTTTTATTATTATGCTGCTGTGTTATATGTGTTATTTTATTTTTGTAACTCTGGCACAACAATTTCCTTCGGGATAAATAAAGTCCTATCTTATCTATCTTATAACAAGTGTTATAATTGGGATTAAAGCTATAGCAACAAATGATACTTTCTGTAAAAGGAGGATATAATAATAATGAAAAATCTAGTCAAAGGCAAAGGCTTTTCGTCATACATGCACAATTAGCTGTACAAATGAAAACGTGTATGTGTGCTGCAAATATTCATGACTTATATTTCTGTATAAAAAAGATGCCTCCTGTGTACGTGCACCCAATTATTATGTGCCTGCTTTTATCTTTTAATTGCCTGACACGTTACCAATATTCCAGCTTCTAATTATCATATCTGCAGCTATACAGGTATTAATGATTGACATTATAACTCTCTATACAGACCTGTAGTAAGATGCTGGTCGGGGAGGGGCTTCAGGTCTCTCCTGGTCCAGCTCTCTGAACACCGCCTCAGGGAGCTTGATTGCAGGGCCGGACTGAGCGCTGTGATGATGAGATGAACCGTCCTTCTTCTTTTCTTTACTCTTATGCTTTCCAGACTTTGGGGTGGACTTGCCACCATTAGAGGAGGGGATATCTGTCCGGTCCTTGCCACCACCTCCTACCTCGCTGCCTCCGCCGTCGCTACCGTTACAAACCCCTCCACCACCACCACCAGTTCCAGAGGTTGGAGCATCCTCTGCATCACTATCTTCCTCTGACACCACGTCAATGTTCTCAAAGATGCTGATGCGGTGGATGCGTCCTTGGAAGTCCAGCTCCACCATGCGCTGTGCCTGTGCATAAGTCATTGTTTCCCTGCCCGGAGAGTTAGAGTGATCCGACTGGTTGGGGCTACCAGGCGTGTTCCCCCCGTGCCCCAGTCCCCCACCACCGTTACCTCCACCATCGTCCGTATCCCCTGAGCCAGCCAATGAGGCGCGAGGAGGCCGTCCCTTTCTCTTTTTCTGGGGAACAGTCTGTGCAGGAGTTGGGTTGTCATGGTCATAGTGGTACAGGTGATACTCAATGCCACTGTAGCTCTTGTAGACCTTCCGGCAGGACTCCACAGGGCACTCATAAGGGGGCTTGGTGGCCCGCAGGTTGTGACAGAACGTCTTTACATCAAAGTCTAGCCCCATTGTGCCAACAGCCACTGCTGGGACAGATGCTGTTCCAGTTTACATCTGAAAGACAGGGACACAAAGGAGGACCATGGGTGAATCAGATGAGATTTAATTACAATACATTAGGTAGAGAAGACCTACTGTTACTGAATTGAAGCAGTTAGAGACACCAGTCCAGGCGTTCATTCAGACTGTGCACCTGTTATGTTGCAGTCACGTGACCATATCCCTCAATCCCAGTGGGAAACAAATTGTTATGTTTTGTCACACAGTCACAGGTGCAATTTAGGTCAATATTTAGGCTTATGTTCCTTGCCAATGACAGTTATGTCCGGATAACGTGCAGTGGCACAAACAGCATAACAGTAAGGCTAGTTGATAGCAAATTACAACTTGTTTACAGCCCATCAATTCTGGCTAAAACAACAGTGCACACGACAATACAAAATATCCCAAAACTAACCACAGGACTTTGTATGCCAGCTATCGTTAGCTTTAGCATGTTTCTGATGTTTCTCCTCACACAATGAACCCTTTAGCCAAGCAAGCTAACAGCAGCTAGCAAACAACAACACCAGTTCACTGTCGAAACTGCAAAAGCTACACAGAAAAAAAGCTCAGCTTCTACTCACGAATTAACGATGCAATGAAGCCAACGCTTTCTTGCATTATTGTGTATCTTTATAGACGCACAGTGCTTCATTATAAGTGGGTTAAATTCATAGCTGCTTTCACAGGGCAGACGTTACCTACACAAAAGGGGTGTTACTTAAAGGTTGCATAATATTTTTAATATAACGAACAGCAAATAATGAACACGTGTTTGAAGTTAGATACACAGTAGTATGAATGTTACTGAGATGACCATTCAACATCTTACAGTGTTTCCCTCCACAATGACCTCACCCTGTGAATACCTAATACTGAGCAGCCAAATGTCACTATTGCATCTGATTTCACGAGGTTATACCACTACTACTGCGTATGGGATCAGGTATATTGTTTATTCAAACAGCTAATGTAGATAAACCATTTAATTATAATTCCCTGTGTAGCGTAATAGCTCTGAAATGCTGTGCGATGCGAGGAAAATAGCCAAGCTTGTTATGCATCTGGGCTGTACTGGTTACTCCGGGTTTACAGGGCACATTGGGTTAAGACGGAATATTAAAATCAATACAAATATACACCATTAATGACTATTTATTGTCAAAGTGTGATTATATTCTCCTACAAAACAAGGCTTCAGTCGCTACAGATCTAACGTTATAAACACTTACTACTCCACGTTCCTCAAGACTGCGTGCTTCGGAAACCTCTCACAGATCGGACGGATTGCAGATCGATTTTTTGTTCATTTAGATAACTCCAGATTAGATTCAAGGGAAGCGTAGGTGCTGTGAAACGTGTTTATAAATAAATTTAATATCCAGATCGTTGCATTGTGTTGGGAATAATTCAGGAACTCGGTTGAACAAAAGGGGCAACCGTTGCTGTATCGCTACGGCGCAGACGCGGGTTGACACATTCGCCACACAAAGCAGGGTCTATTTTTCTGGTTTGGTAATAAAATAGAGGCTAAATACCTGAATCGAACTGTTTCTAGTAATGATATAAATGATATTCTGTTCAAAGATATTTTTTATATAATTTATTTTTGAATGTCTATTGATCCAATACGTTCCCACGGGTTATTTCGTCTTGAATGTTGCGAATCTGTGGCTTTGTTTCAAAGATGTCTGCAGGACAGTGTAAAAAAAAACCTGAAACCATCCAGCCTTGCCTGAGTGCGCGACACACTTAAATAACTACATACAAACTACTAACTATATAGGAATAAAAAGTGTGCAACTTTATTGATTTAACTTACCTTAAATGATCACCTTAACTCCATATTACATAACCTTATCAAGATTTGAATATGATGATAGCCTCTAGAAATATAAATGGAAATAAAACACAATGAAACTTAATCAAGCACGAAATAATATTTATTTATTTATTTCCCAACATTCAGTCTGATTAGAGTGCAGCAGGGTAGGGTGGGGTAATGCAGTGGGACATACAGTACAGCAGGCAGAAGCAATCCCACTGTTTGAATACAAGCCTTTGACAATCAGAGCATATTCACCAGGGGGCACTGTTTTACAGAGAGAAGTTAGATGAGCAGATTGCACATTTTCAGGACTCCTCCTCCTCTGTGCAACTCAGCTCCTCTAATTGATCACTGCATCCAACAACAATAGTTATTCCTTCCTCTGCTCACCATGAGTTAGCAGTGAAGGAGGTGGAACAAAACCAGATACAAGTGACAGAGAACAGAAATCTCTTACTACTGGAAGTATTTCACCAAAGCAGAAGATTCTGCATAATATCCTATAAAAGTCCAATTCAAACCGAATTGATGAAATAATGTACATCAAAGCAACCCCTCCACCACCACCACCTCATCATCTTAACATTCCCCCCAAAAAAATAGAAATATAAAGTACGAGAAAACTGTACATTTCACAGCTTGGCAGAATTGGGTTGCTGGAACCTTTTAAATGAATCGTGTATATGTGAAATATCCAACCATTGTAGCTTTATTGTTTATCTTTGCTTTATGGAACATGAAAAATTGGGCATGCTTGTTGGTGATACAAAATTACAGGTGGGGAAACCCACTATATACAGTGTAGGAAACTCTTAAACATAGGTTAGAATTAAGGGAGACCATATGTTGTGCAAATCTCCTGCAATAAGTATCGTTTGAATTTTGCAATATATTACTGAAAATGAAAAAAAAGACTCATCCAAAGCAACCTGTGAAACAAGGCAATAACACTGCTTTGTTCGTGCCTCATTTGTTAATTTCATTTGAGGAGGTTTTCATATTTAAAGTACCATTGTATGTGAATATTATGCTCAATTGTACAGTAGAATCACCTCAGACAATAGCAGCATCAAAGAAAAATCAAGCTTTTAAACAGCAAACAATTTAAAAACTGGTGATTGCACAAAACATTTCACTTGAAGTGTATGCTGAGTAATCAGATAGCCTATTTGAAAGAGCAGTTAGCAGTAGTGGCATGTTTGCTTGGTGGTTTGTAATGTTTAGAATTTGTCCAGTTACTCCTGTCTGTTGCTTTGTGATTTATAACTTTGTTGAACTCTCAGCTTGCTCCTCTGCACACAGAGATAAGGCTTGTGGCAAGGCCACGATCAAAGCTTTGTGGAGGGGTTAAATTGCACTTTTTAGCCTCTAGCCTTGACAATAATTGCTACATTCTGATCAAAACACTACCAGAGAAATAAACTGTACAAAGAACTGTGTACAATATATATGGCTCTGGACACTGCCTTTCTTTAGAGCACAAGGCTTCAACACTGCCAACTCCCATGCATCAGTTGTCCTATCAAAAAGAGGCTGCGTCCCACCGAACCATTTAACCTGAAAGAGTGGATTTGTCTGCTGGCGTAATATTTTTCCTTCTCTCATCAGTCTCACATTAACTGTTTGTTTCTGCAAGGCAATGGTACATCTCACCACTATGGCATTCCATCTGTCACAGGGGTGTAAAGTAAACAAGGGTTAAAACATGATTTATTATTTTAAATAAGAGCATATACTTTGTTAATAGTGCAGTTCTACAAGGGCATTCATATGTAAACCAAAAAGTATCTGTAATGCATTAAAATTAAAAAAGAGACTGCACTCAAGCTACCCTAAAATAAAAATAACTTGAATACAGACATGCTTTGTTCACAGAAAAAATAAAATAATCAATAAATCAATGTTCAAGGCACTACATTCCTTCAAATATCTTCATCATAAATACTGTCCGGTTACTGTATCTCACACCACTGGTATTTGGATTCCAATGTAGTGTTTAAAGTGTATGTAACAAAAAAAGGGGAGAACTGCAGTAATAAAGAGTAAAGTGATGTTTGCTTTTCGTGACTGCAGACAAGTAGTCTTGTATGGCTAAGTTTAGTCAAAACCAAAGCCAAAAAGCATTAGATATCAGACATACATACTTAACAAATACTGTATACACAAATTTACACATACACACTCAAATTAACCACAGATATAAGTGTTGCTGAAAGAATATCAACACTTGGGTCATTTACAACATCAGATTATGTACATGTGTGGCTCTGATGAAGCAGAATGGATTGGAGTTGGACTATCGTGCCCTTACACATGAACAAGTATTAGGTAGCAGATTAGGTAGTCCTAGCGGTTTTTGGACAGTGGCCATTCTCGGGCTCGTGCATGAGGTTGTAGGCTTGGATCCCCTGGTTTGCCGTTGGGGCATAGGGCATCGTTCTTGCAGCACCGAGCAGGCCTACAGGAGCCCCGGACCCTACAGGACTGGGCATGCCGGACCACTGCTGCGGGTAAAGAGGGCCAGGAGCCATCCCGTACCCAGGAGGGAGCGCTGCCGAGTTGGGAGCTAGGTTTGAGGGCGTACCGGGGCCTAAAGCAGCAGTCAGGGGGCAGGAAAGAGGCAGCTGGAACTTGCGGGGACCGACATGGCATTTAATCTGAAACAGAAGGGAGTTGTTGTACAAAGTAGTGCATAGACCGCCTCAAAAGTCAGAGATCAAAGTACAACCGACGCTTCATCATCTATCCCTGAGTGCACATCTTCATTTCGAGTACCTCTTGTGCAGCTGCTCCCACGGGTGACACTCTGCCCTCCAGGTCCTGCTGGCGTCTCTGCTGTTTCATCTGGTTGAGGGAGGGCCGCGGCTGATTGGCTGCCGCAACAGTCTCCTTCGTCCAGTCGTCTACCAGCTTGTGAAGATCGTCTGTGAACGTGCCTCTCTTGTTGTTGCTGTTGTTGGTCTGGACCTGAGCGAGCCGTGTGATTGGCTGGGGTGATGGCGAGGGTGTGGCGAATGCCGGCTGTGTCTGACTGGAGGCCGTCTGAGCGGTGGTGGTGTGGGGAGAAGACCCTGAAAACACACAAAAAGGTCTTCAAATCTGGCCAGTTCTACAATATTAACTATCAAATCAATTGGCTGCTGTTTGGCGTCATTTCAGTCACTTTTGAAAAAAAGAGTCCAAATCATTCAGTTGAGGCTAGAGTCAAAGTGTGTACAACTTGTGTACTTTTACTTATTTTTCCAACATAGCAGCCAAAGGATTGTAACAAATTACTTCCAAGAGTAGTAATAGCCAAATGAAATGTTTGATATGCAAGCAGTGACAAAATTGAGCAATCACTACATTAACACCGCCATGCAAAAAAACATCAAATATAAAACAATGAACCCACATTTTCAAACACAACTTTAACATTTTCCAGGTGCCAAAACAAAAAATAAAGTGCACATACAAACATAAGGAGGACTTAAGTAGTGAGGACAGAGTAAGAAAGACAGAGAGTAAGAAAGTAAATGAGATAGTTACTACTACTGCGCTCTTTGCCTAGACATAGTCGTTTCAGAGTGGACCCTATAAGAAGGTAAAACAGCACAAGACAGAAACAGTTAGGCCAGGACACACTGCACACCACACGGATGTGGACAAGCTGCTTCATAAACACATTCAGCTATCAAACAATTGGGGAGAGAGAGGGAGGGAAGAGGAGGACAAGGGGTTTCAAAGTGAGGAGGACTGGAAGAAGCAGCCTAGATGTTCTCCTAAAGATGGGCAACCATTTGTAAAGTTCACTATTACAACTTGTACCTGACCAGCTTAAGAAATGGAAAGCACTCTTAGCTTTGGTTGTCAAATGATTCTTCCATTACTTTAACCATGTCAGTATGAAAACCATCATATTTTATGCTGCCTTATAAGATAACTTTTTTTCAAACAATGTTCTGTTTAAGTCAACAAGTCTGATAAAATGCAGTCACTATCATTTTACTCGCCTTTCCAAATAAGGCGTAACATTTCTTTGATTTTATTTATACATTTTTAGTCTATTAGTTGGTGCGAGACCATAACCACAAGATAAGCGTTTTCTAAGAAAGGAAGACTGGATTCTGGATTAAAAGAGATCCCTTAGTCGATGTGAGAATGCCTGTGAAACACAACGTGAAACCAAAATAAATCAAACTGAAAGAGCACACAGATACTAGCTGGAACTCATCGGTCAGCACTTGTTGGAAACATGCAGGTAACTCAGGAGACGTGGAAAGAGGGAAAAAGTAATAGTTGATGATACAGCCCTTCACATGGCGGAGCAAGTCTCCATCAGGGCCCTGCCTGGCACCATGCACGTCTTCTGCGTCCAAACATGAGGGACAGAGTCTCCTCTAGCACAGCAAAGAGCCCTGCCTATCAGGGAGGGCTGGGGGGGGGGCTGAGTTAGTATATAGAGGATTGCTGACTTGGCAAAGTGCCTTAACTTGGGAGATGTTAAACAATCAAAATTAACAGTGGATGGAAAAAACAACAACAAATAAATAGGGAATAAAGGGCGTTTGTCATTCTCTCTCTCAGGTGTACACGGGCACACCATCTTGTTTTAGATGTGACCTCGGCCCATGTTTGGAGAGGACTAGCCCCAGTGCGCTTATAGGGTCTGTTTTTTGTAAGCCAGAAGCGCTGCACAAAGCATTTGTATGAGGGGGAGTGGGCATTATACCCACTAATGAATGGTTATGAATGCGAAACAGTGGTTCTGTAAATTGTGGATTGTTGCCAGAGGAATAGCTATAATATCCAGACCCAGAGTCACGCACACCCAAGACATGTTTCCTTTTTAATCTTCAAGCCAAAAAGCTGTCCTGTTGATTTAAGGGTCAGACAGATGTAATGCTAACTAGCACATGACCAAAACCCTTTTTGAAAAACGGCTTCACGACGACAGCAAAACGTAGGTACAAAAATATCACAAGAACTTCTATTTATTTTTTTTACATTATTATTTTCAATAATTTCAAGCACCTTTAATGACTTGACTATACTCTCTTTCCAGGAAGTGATACATACGACAGAGCTAAAAGCGCATTAACTACCTTAAAGTGCCACAATAAAGTGTCAGCAATGCTTCTGCAATGTCGATCAGCAATAATAGGTTACGGGACTTTTAGTAGAGTCATAAGCTAAAACAGACAGAACGGTTTCCTGCTTCACTGAATGCTTGAAGATAAAAAGGAAACACTTCCTGGCTGCACATGTTCTCTCTTCCTGGTGGCATGTGCCTATGTTGGCTAGATTCAGCTGACTTTGTAGATACGACTTTTAAATACAAAAATCCTCAGAAGTTAATGATCACATCGAACACGACGTTTAAAGTCGTCGAGGGAGGGGTTGAGTGTGAGGAAGAGAAAATGGGGGATGTCAGGAGGGGGGGGCCTGTGAGGAGGATGGAATAGAGGATCCACAATATTACAGAGATATTTAAACATGGTGATAGAAGAGAGGCAGGTTAAACAAAGAGAAGATGGAAATGAGTGAGGGTAAATAGAAAAGAACAAATACAAACAGATGGACAGAGACACAGGTCCACTGAGGAATCTAGTGCGTGGTTTGCTACTAGATTTATAGGTGACTCTCTCTGACGTTTGGTGGTAAACCGTCCAGCCTGTAAAAATGAATATAAGAGGGAAGAAGAGAAGAAACAAGAGAGACACTTTGTAAAAGTGTACAGAGACTGGGTTGAGAAACCCCACCATAAAAAGCAACAGCAAAGGAAAATAAGGAGTGCACAATATACAGGAGCCTAGTATTTTATACAATGATTCATTCGACATTTCAGACAATAATTAAGAATGAAAGAGTGTTTTTAGGGGAGCGGGGAAACACAGGTTTCAGGGTTTGACCCCAATATTTGTTTGTTTTATCTTTTATTTTAATAGGGTTCCCTTGATATGAAAGCATCTACAGCCTGTAGATACTTTCACCTCACTGTAGTCCCTTAACATGCTACTGTCATAGAATAAATATATATATAAATACGAAAACGCACTACAACCTAAGAGTAAAGTAAAGAATTCCACTTGAAACGATAACATAATATTAATAAGGAACAAAGTAATAATAATAATAAGAGTAAAATATATTGGCATAAATTAAAAACAAAACACAACATTTGAAAGCATGAAATCAGCCAGTTACACACACAACATAGACATTGACTGAGTCTATGATCTATCAAAGAAATCTATTAATAATGACGTCTTTTGATTTAGATGAACTTAAGAACTCAAAAGCTGTGAGCAGCTGATAATACTAGAGATTACAAGTAGAGATACTGTGGTCAGTAAAATAAGATCCCTTCCCATTGCTAGCTTCAAAATATTGCCAACCAACTACATAATGGTTTATTATCGGTCAGCAGGTGTTTTTGACTTGGTTTTTTAAAAGCCAACAGTACCTGACCAACCATACATTATATGTATGTAGTATTCAGAGTGGTCCTTCACACAGTACCAATGTGTCTGTGATCCTTCAGGTCTCTTTTGCAAAAGCTAGTTCATGGACCGTATGGACAACATGAACACTGTTAAGCCTTGTTAAGCTCCAGTAGCTGTTTGGTAGATAGCTGTCCCATCCGCACACACATCAGCATGCACTTGAACACATAATGTGTACCTTGGCCTGCTTGGTTAGTCGTCCCGTCTCCGTGTAGCCCAGCGTAGATGTTGTCCGAGGAGAAGGAGCCCTTCAGGGAGCAGGGCTGCTGGGTGTGCACCTGCTCTGGGGCGGCGCTGGTGTGACTGCTGGAGCTAGAGCTGCCACTGGAGTGGGCCGAGCCGTCCGACAAGATGGAGCTCTTAGCCGGGGAACTGCAAGAACTGGCAGCGCTCTCACCTTGGTGCACAAAAACAAGTAGTGAGTCACACTCCTACGGTTTTCTGAACCTGACGCCATTCTTGTGTTTTCCACTCGTTTGCTTCAGACTGAAAATGCTCTCCATACACACAGCATCACCACTTATCACCCCACTATCTGAGCCCACACACCTTTCCTCTCGCTGGCGGTGCTCAGGTTGTTTTTGAGCTGCTGCACCATGGGATTGAGCAGTTTTCCAGCCTTCAGCTTGTGTTTGCTGGCCTTGCGCCTGCGGCCGCTCGGGGGTGCTGCATGAAGCAAGCCAACATTGGAGGGCAACATTTTACCCAGCTCCGTGTACAAATGCTCAATCTCCCCTCTCTGGAACACCTGCAGCTCAGAAATCTCCTTCATGTGTCTAGTGAGAAGGTACAGGAGGAAAACAGAAATAGTTGTTAGTCAATGTTGCCGTCTCTTTTTCCAAACATTCCCTCAGTAAGTTACGCTCTAGTCCAATTAGGCCTCGTTCATTAGAGTTCAGCCACAATACCTGCGTCAAGATCCGTTTTAGTCATTCAAAAACATCTCCATGGCATTTGTAAATCTAACCAAGCTTTTGATGAGCTATGTGCATAGGAAAAGCATTGTGATGAAGAAAATGAAAAGAACAGTTCTTTGTACATTTAATTTACTCTAATCAAGTCACATACTGTATTTGGATGCATCATGTTATCAACGTGAAATGATCATCATCGCACCTGTGTCTGCGGTACACTGTTGCTAAAAATGAATGTCCTAAATTAAGATGACATGTCCACTTAGTGATAATTGGCAATTGTAATCCATTCTGGTTCATTATAAAACTTGAATTGTATTTAAAGTAAGTTATCGATTAGGGTTTTTATTGAAGTGGTAAAGCACACTTATTTTGAATAACTTTGTAATGTGACATCTACTTGACAATCAATATGAGAAGATAGAACTCCTTTGCCAAATGTGTTCTGAAAACCAGGCAGGCGTGACCATTAACCAATATCTATCTTCAACATCTGCTGTCCGTTAACATAATGTGTTTCTGCCAAAATGCAATAATCTAAATCATGCCCAGACTGCTGACTATGCAGAGGGGCATAGCTACACACACATACAGACGCAACACATTTTGTGTGTTCATTTACTTTTCTCTCAGCTTCTGCAGCTCTTTCCTCATATCTGCATCCTCAAACTCCGAGTCGTTGTCACTGCTGATGTAGGATGAGTGGGCAGGAGGCGAGGTGGCGTGTCCGTTCATTGCCACAGGCGGTCTGCTCGGTGAATCCGAGCTCTGCTCACTTTTGCTCCGGCCAGTGCGCCGCAGGAACGCCACTGCCCTTTTCATGAGGTCGCTTCCACTGTGCGCAGACAGAGCATGAGCGGGGGGAGCGGGCTGGGCAAGGGGAGGGGCTACACCACTGCTGTCTTCATCTGCCGAGTCAGAGTAGAGGTGAGAGGCATGGTGGTAGCTGTGATGGGTCGGAGTGCCGATGGTCTGGGCCCGGGGGATGTGCCGGGGGGTGAGGTCGGGGCTGGAGGTGGGGGTGACATGATAGAAGTTTGGTGGGGCAGAGTAACGATTGCTGCTGAGGGGTTTGGATGTTCCCTCTTCCTCATGATCAGCTGCAGCTGTCACATTCAATCTGCCCACAGCAAAACAGTCCTTCTCTTTCCTGCCAGGGCCCAGGGTCTGCCTGTGAGACCCTCCGGACCCACTAGAGGGAGCTGGGGAACTGCAGGTGCTGAAACCAGTCTTGCTTTTCTCTAAACGACAGATGACATCCGGTGGTGTGGGGATGATCTGGAAGGAAGAGAAGCCCATGTTCATAACAAAATGAGGGTCCATAAACATCATTAACCAATGTTTAGGCCACAAACTGAACCGAGGACTAACAATGGATAAGTCATGACCTGTCATTTAATTTATTTTGGTCAAAGGACTTTCATATTTAGCAGATGTGCCCCTTTGAGGGTTTTTAAAGTGGAGTCTTACTTGAAAACGGCTTTTAGAGCTATTTGAACCAGAGCTGGTTGTCTCATCTCTTCTGTCCAAAACCCTGTTAGTCGCTGAAAGACAAGGAGACATGTTTTGAATGGTCTCAATACTATTATGCAGTAATCATTTGAAATGAACATTGTATAAATAATGTTACCTACCTCCCACTGCAGAGTCACTTATTGCACCCACACTATCTGTCCGCTCAGGAATCTGAGGCTATGAGGGGAAAAGAGAAGAGTGTGTGTGTGTGTGTGTGTAGGAGGTTACAATAATTTGAATAGAGGCAAGTGGTACATGGGCTAGATCAGTGTTGTGAGGGGAGCCATTGTTCCCTCCTGACCTCAGTTTTGTTTGAATGAGTCAGACTCTGATTTGTTTTTGGTAGCACACAAAGACACACACAGAAAATGATGCTGTCAGAGAATAACATCAAGATCAATGATGGTGCTGACAGCAGTCCTTTTGTTACCCTAACCTACCTCTTAACCCTTAGATGCATAAGTGGGTCTTTTTTGACCCGGTGAGGTGGTTTTCTTGAAGTATCTTTGTAATTAAAAATGTTTCATATTCCAGCTATTCCTAAAAAAACATGTTTTGGATATCATGCCATTCAAATTTGTAATGTTAAGAAATTGTAGTTTTTGTATTACTACCCCCAAGCTTCCATAAGTGGGTCAAACATGACCCGCATGCATTTTCTATGGGATCCTATGGGAACCTTTGATTCTATCACCTGTTGCTGTCAGGAATACATTCACTGTAGACCACACAGACTACATCACAAGTGACACCTCTCAGGAAGATTATTTTACACAGCAAGACCTGATACCGGTCAGTATAATAATAATAATAATAATAATAATAATAATAATAATAATAATAATAATACATCATATTTTTATAGGGCTTTAAGGACTCAAAATCACTTTACGATATAAGGGAAGGTTAGGGTGGGGGGTATAGGACTATCAAACTTGATCAACCGGCATGGATTGATGAGGGGTGGGCTATGAGTAGACAAGAGGAGATTAGTTTTGAAAAGGGACTGGAATACTGTGAGGGTCTCAGAATAGGGGAGATCTTTGCATCAATATGTTCAAAATGTTTTTTTCAAAATGTAAAAAAAAAATTCTATAATTCTAAATAGTGAAAAATTAAATATAAAGTATTTCTAGTGTGAACCAAAATATAATACTAAATATATAATAGTGATTTTTTTTTAACCAAAATGACAAAAATGGCATAAAAACACATTATTCTAATACTGGTACTTTTTAACCCACTTATGGAAGAGTGTAGGGTCCAGTCACTCGGGCATCTAAGGGTTAACACGGTATTAGTCTTAATCAAATCAATTATCACAGTGTTTTTACCAGCTGATCCCCTTTCTTCTTTGTAAGTGCCCCCTCAGTGCTCTGGCTGTCTGACACTACAGGTGTGCTGACTCCCTCTGTGCAGGGGGCTTGGGGGTCCAACGCTATGCTGGTGGGCTGGGATGGAGCATGCTCCTGGTACAACAGGTTTCTCAGCTTCTCATCCAAAGTCTTGATGGTGCGGTCTGTGAACTCCACCCTGCGCGGTCCGTCGCTGTCCGACTCGCCCGGCCCCCCACTCGCCGGCTGCTGGAGGCCGGACCCCTGGCAGTTCTGATGTGCTGGACTCTGCGGCTGGGAGATGACTGTCCCCGGCTGCAGGGGCGTGGCGTAGGGTTGCTGCAGCACCACAGACTGATGGGAGGCCAGCTGAGGGGCTGGGTCTCCAGTAGGACTGTTTTTCAGGTTAGTTTGATTAGATGTCAAACCACTAGCTGTTCCTTTATCGATAGCATTCACAGTCAGAGAGACAGGCGGCACAATAGAGCAGCATGGAATGTCCGATACCAGAGAGACAGCGGAGATGCAAGGCTCCTCCACAGGGAAGGATGTGTTGTGATGGGCGAGGGCATGTTTGGTTACACAGGGCTGAGGCGGCTGGATCCGGGTTTTGTCAATGCTTTGGTCTTGAGGTTGCACTGAGGTCTGAGGCGCGGGGGGCAAGGAGGAGGAGGATGACAGGCTTTGGGAGGATAAAGATGTGACTTGAGTAGCCGCTGAAGTTGTGCTGCTGTTGCGCCTGACTGATGACATGGCAGAGTTTTCAGATTCTGGAGAAATGAAAAAGATCAGTGTTGATTTGGAGTAGAACATATTGGAGTTAAACAGCCAAGGCTGGGAAGAAGAGAGGCTTGCTCTTATGGGTGCGAGAGTGTTACATCACTGCCTATCTTCCCCCATCACGCTCTGTCAGCTGGAGTATAAATCCTGCCCTTCATTTCTGCCTAGAACAACTGCAGAAGTACTCTTATATAACTGACCCCAAGGAGCCGACTTTAAAGCATGCACAGCATCTTCACTATCAACAGCAGAGAGTAAGACTCAAACCTGAAAGAGTATATTCTTTGTAGGGAAAGCAGCAGCTCATATTGCTCATTGTAAAGAACTTAGAGTATTGCAAGTGGGTATTCATGATAGTCTGTATTTCGGAGCATGCAGCATACCCTGGGCTGTAGAGGTGTTGGATGTAGTCTTCTCTTTGTCTATAATAGGCGTCTCCGCCACAGGGCAGATGATAAACCAGCGCTTGCCGGTGTGGAGGACTGTCAAGGACACAGAGAAAGAAAAAACTCAGAATTACAAATGTTATAAAAGCAATGAGAACAGAAATGAGATTATTGATACTTTGAAAGCTAGATAAAAAGAGAGAATACATACTTTAAAATACATTCAATAAATCGTCACAGGCCTCTTAATAAATCGGATGTACAGGGAAGACAGTTTAAATAGATGTTATCAACCATTTTTAGATTGGCAGAGATACAATCTTACTTCCAATCTTTGGGAAGACTTTTGAAAGATGGATTTGAAACATTTTAAAACCACTAAATGCCTTATTTTAGATTGATAAACTTGAGGCCCTAAGACATTTAAACAGAGCCAAGCTGGATTTGAAAAGTGTGAGTGGATTTTATTGGAGTGAATAAATAAGTTCCAGGTGGCTAAAGTTCTTACCATTTTGCTGGTACACCAGCTGTGGTGTGCTTGGTGCAGAAGCCTTCAATCCCTAAAGAAAAGAAAGGATTACTACACTGATCTGATGAGGGCTGAACCTCACAAGCTAATTCAGTTAGATCAAAATGTCACATCAGCAGGAATGATATTTTTGGCAGCTCTTGTTGTCAGCGTTGCATGCAAAGTCATCCTGAGAGTGCCGTCAGGGTGATGTATCAAAGGCACAGGCTCGGCGACAGATTGTGCCATCGCAACTATTAACTGCCAGCAGATCCTATCCCACCTCTGCTCCCACAGCGCCTTCACTCTGTTTGGGACTGCCTCCGTGGTCAGAGTTCCTCTCGCCCTCGGTGTCCTCACTCAGCATGTCCTCAGCCTTGTCCACAATGTCCTTCAGCTGCTCAATGAACATCTCTTTTTCTAAAGGCAGGATGAAATCATTCTCCACCTGAGGGGCACCATGGAGAAAAGGGCAAAAGAATATTACAGAATTTAGTTTAAAAAGCAATGCTTGAAATAAAACTGTGCCAGGGACAGCAGATGTCGAAGAATTCTTCAGGAGGAAAAATGGATTTAGGAGGGGGAAACCTCGTCAACATTGTACCTTGTAAAGAGTAAACAAATTGATTGAAATTCCAGATATGGTCTCAATAAAAGGCCCCAAGAAAATCCAAGGAGTACTTTTGCACCATTTGTTAGGTTTATTAAGTACTTCTGTTTCTTAGGGTTTCATATCATAAAAGTTAAACTTACTGCTAAGTTTAACAAGTAGGCATTTTCCCAGAACAGCTATAATATACATATACAGTTGGTGAAGTAGTTATGACATAAATATGAATGTATCTATCAACATGAGTTCGAAGCCATTACAAAATATGTAAGTAAACTTGCAGCATACTACAGAAACCGCTGCATCAGTTTAGGTGGCAGTTTCCGTCTCTTACATACCATGTACGTGGCAATCTCTTCCGGTGCATCTCCATCCAGGTCAAACTTGAAAGTAACCATTTTGTGGTTATGAGTTTCCAACTGACACTCGACCATCTTATCGCCAGTGTTGCACACCTTTAACAAGATCAGACACAATGAATACATTGTCCACTTGCACATCATTTTTTTCAATTATCTTAAACAATGTTTTTCTTGTTAGGAATATCTTCTGGTTACCCACATTGAGCATGCTGAGCTTTGGCCTGTTAATCTTCTCTTGCCGAGAGCGAGTGCGGGTGGACCTGCGATGGTGTTTGCGGACTTTCCCTTCGCCTTTACCTCCGTATGTCCCCTCGTAACCGTCGCTCATCTCCTTCCCTGATGTGGCATCAGAGTTGACACTGGTTTCGGCGAGGAAAGGCAAGACAATCTGTGTTAGTAATGGCTTATTCGTGAAAACACTCTTCATGGGCCATTGGTTTTGAGACTATAGTTTCTGACATGCTCAATACGGCTCAGATGAAGATAAAGATGGTGGATTGACAAAAGGAGAAATACTCAAAATGGTGTGTGATAAATGAACAGAAACTATCCAAGTGTGTCACACAATCTTCCGGCCACGATAGACAGAAATCTCGTGCTACAAATGATTTTTTACCCCCAAGCACCGATACAGAAATAGTGAAAAGGTTTAGTTCTGCTCTGGAAGGCCTGCAGGATTTGGCAAACTCTGATATATCCACCATTGGTGACACTAAACTGTACATGAGCTTAAAGAGGACAGAATAGCTATCTGACATGAAGGAACAATTTATATTTCTAAAACTATAATAATGCTGGTCACAGTGATAGCTGCTATCAGAGTGTTTATCAGAGAAAGTAAGCATTAAGGGCGATCAAAGTGGTCTGTAAACTAATAGCTAGATAGTTAGTAGTAAATCTATTATTTCTGAGGAATAGCGGAACGCCCGCAATGTTTGCTAACGGCAAACAGCCTCTCCACCTTACCTTTTTATAGAGTTTAAGTGTTTGCTTTTCACTTCTTGTTAAAGATGTAAGAGCAATGTGTCCAACCAATGAAAGGTTAAAGTGTTGGTGTGACTACTGCAACATTGTCAACAAGAAAAGCCTATCATTTCTCAAGTCTGAAGTAAGAGAGGACAGACAACTGGTTAAGACCGCATGCTTTATGGCAACATTCATTACATGTCATTTGTTAGACGCTTTTATCCAAAGCGACTTACATACTCAGTACTGTGGGAAATCCCCACAGGAGCCATTTGGGGTGAAGTGTCTCAGGGACACAACGACATGCTGACTGCAGTGGGACTCGTACTTGCTATCACCTGATTCGAAGTCCAGCACACTATCCACTGAGCCACAGCCGCTTATTATGCAGAATGCTGCAACATGTGAGAGCTGTTTCTTTTCATCCAAAAAGCATTACTTCTAATTCTTAGAATCAGTGACTGTAATCTGCAAAGACTGCCGGGGGGAAAGATGCTGGTACCTGTCATAGCTTTGTCCTCCAGTGTGTTTCTCTGTGGCTTGATCCTATAGACAATAAAGTCAAGCAAAGAGAAGGATTCAAACAAGAGTAGCATATCAGGTAATTTATTTTAGATATCAATTATGACGGTGGCTTGAGAGGAAGTATAATTATTCTTCGTACGTCTGCACTGGTATATTTGCAAAGCAAGGCGGAGAGAGGAAGATATAAGATATAACCATTTTCAAATGAGGAAATGAGTCATACCTCCATGTTGCTCTCTGCTGGACCCTGACCTGCAGCTCCGGTGAGAGAACCGAGTTGTTTCTGCTGAGTCAGGGAGGAACTGGCAGACCCAGACGACACCCTCTGAGGGTCAGAGGGCTGCAGCACAGGGATCTGGCTCTGAACCTGACTCTGGGCCTGCGGGGCCAGCTGGCAGGGGTTGTTGTTGTCCAGCTGGGGGGCAGTGGAGACTGTGCCTGGGTCTGAACCATTGTGCAAAGGTGAGGAGAAGCCTGCAGGCTGGGGGGGCTGGGCAGAGGGGACATGCTCAGGATGGCTGATCTGGGCTTGCTGAGGAACCTGCTTAACAAGACAAATAAAATAACAGATTTGTATTATTTATATTCATGGAAGAATCATTTAGAGATATTCAAAAATGAGTCTGATTTGCCATTTCTTGATACAAAATTATTCTTAAGGGTTTTCACTTCCATACATTTTTGTATTAATCTGACTTTCACATATAAACGTCCATTCTCCCTCAGCCACACAACAACAGCACAGTGACCCTAAAAACAAAGATCTGACAGATTATCACAATCACAGGTTCCAGTTCACACCCTCTTGGTAAACATCTGCACTCCACTGCAGCAGTCATTATTACCTGTATCAGAGGCTGAGCGCTGCCATTTGTGGGAGGGTGTGTGTTCTGGCAGGGGGCAGTGTGTGTGTGTATGGGGTGGGCGGTTGGTGCCGACATAAATGCAGGTTGTGAATGAGGAGCTTCAGATCTAACGCTCTGCAGCAGAACAGTGGCTGGCTGGTGCTGTGAGGATGTGGCTCCCACCTTACAGAGCATGAGAGAGGGGGACGGTATGAGGGACATGGGGATGGGTGAAACTAACACATTTTCAATTTGCAAAGGAGAGAGGGGGGAGACAGAGGGTGGCACAGTCTGTCCAGGAGAAAGGAAGATGGAATTAAGTGAGGAAGAGGTTGAAGGGTGAGGGGCAGTGAAAGAGTGAGGGTGGGAGGATTCACAGGGAGGCACAGCTGTCATCACCTGGATTGTGGGATAGTGTGAAGGAAACTGAAGAAAATAAAAAAGGGAAGGAAACAGAGGAAACTCAAATAAATCGAGAGAGCAAAGATCAAATGTAAGACTGTGACGCATCACAACCTGGACCAAGTTTACTGTATGTTGTTATTTGTCCGTATAATCCAAGGGAGAAGAACGTAACAATACCTGGGATGGATGTGTAGGCTGGCAAAAAGTTAGAAATCTGCAACGGTTGGAGTTGCTGGTGGACAGTAGCCTGAGCTATTGACTGTTGATGAGGCAGAGCCTGGGCTGGCACACTTGAAGCTGATTGGCTGAGATTCTGCCCGTCTTGTCCAAGCTGTGAGATGCTATGACCAGCAGAGATGTTCTAAAGAAGAGGGGAAAGCAGGAGGGAGAAAAATAAAGGGGGGGGGGGGGGTCAATAATGGAAGAGATTCCGGTTTCATCTTTCTGTTTGGAAAACTGCATTTCCTCCTATTGACCCAGATCAGAATAGCTTACATGTCCCCTCCTGTCCCTAAGCCTGGAATCATTCTGAATCTGCTGCATATATTGGAGCCCTGTTTACCACAGAGCAGGCCTGGCAGGGGCTAAAACCACTGTTATTGTTTTCATTACTGTTTCCATCGTCTCCCTGTTGGCTGCCGTCTGAGGAAGCTCCCGTTGACCTGCTCTCTTTTTTTCATTCAAGCACTGTCCACCAACACAGCTGCTTCCAATTCAGCTGCACCAAATCAAGACCAGGCCCCGCAATATAAGTCTGTTAAAGTAATGACAGCGATGCCATAGATAATAATGTTCATAATAATATGTGTACTGTCCCTCTCATACTGAATCCCACTGTGGCAGACACAAACAAAAACAAAGGCGTTCTACCTGGTTCAGGAAAGCAGCGTTGCAAAGATAGGGTTGAAACTGATGAAAAATGAAAACAGTGCGAGGTCAGAGGAGGGAAAACTAAAATAACATTCAAAACTGGGGCACCAGTATGATGCTTGATCCTTGCTACATTATACTGCACAGTGATTATTAACTACAATCACCTGTTGTCCTCCGTATGTCAGTGGAGCAGCTGGAGACTGTGCAGCGTGGTACTGGCTCTGACCTGCAGCAGTCTCCTGCTGCAGCGCACCGAGGGCAGGGTGTGTGTAGCTGTGACACGCAGCATCAGGTAGACCGGCTGCAGGGTAACTCTGCTGCGCGGCTGCCACCTGCACAACTGGCGATGCTGTCTGACGAAGTAGATGAGCTGGGGTCTGAACCTGGGATACATTGTGGCTCCATTGTTGACCTGCTGTCTGCATGGCTTCCTGACTGTGCTTCTGTAGAGTTGAGGTGTGTACTTGGTGATGACAAGGAGACATGTTCGGCTGCTGTGTCATTTGTTGGTGTAAGGTATGCTGAGTTTCTTGGCAATGCTGCACTTGAGGCTGAATATAGGCCTGCCCAGCATGTTGTGTCAGTTGAATATGGGACTGAGTGTTCAGTTGGTGCTCTTGCTGAGTGGGTATCTGTTGGCTGTAAAGTGCTGGTGTGGAGGAGCTTGGACCAGGATGCTGACTTGGCAGATTGACTATGTGTTGCAGTGCGCTGGGAGCTAGTGTAGGATGATTCTGGGCCGTGGCTGCCATATTTGGGGCTACAGATGTAAGAGAGTAGCTTTGTGCTGGCTGCTGGGCTGGCAGGGTTGGCGCTGCAGCAGCGGTCTGTTGCTGAACTGGATTAGGATATCCTGACGCAGAGAGAGCCTGTTGTTGAGGTTGGGCTACACAGTTCTGACAAGTCTGTTGGACTTTCAAAGGGAAAGTCGAAGCCGCTGTCGCCTGCTGCTGCTGCTGCTGCTGTTGGTGTCCTGGTGCTTGATAGCTTTGTGCGACATGTTGTGGCACAGCTGATGCTGAAATGTTTGCTGCCACTTGAGTCTGTTGCACACTTTGAGGTGTGTAGTTAGCAGCACTGGCTGTATGCTGCAGGTTGACTGAACATTGACTAGCTTGAGCCGGGGCTGCAGCAGTGTGTTGGCCAACATATGGAGGAGCAGGGTAACTGTGTCCAGGCTGGAGGTACTGCTGCGGTGCGTGCACTGCTGTGCTGGATGATGGCACGCCCTGTACAGATGGTTGATTCTGGTGACCTGCTGAACTGGCCTGAGGACAAACAAGGAGAGAAATTCTAATTAGACCCTCTTTGGGGTTTATTCTACGGGAAAAGGTAAAAATCCCACAAAAGCTTATAAGTTGCCAAACACATTACAGGAAGCAAGTAGAATGAGAGGATGAAGGGCACAAATAAGTGAATGAAGCATCTGTTTCAACAATGAGCAGGCGGTGACAGGTGTGCGCTATAATAAGGACACAAGAGAGAAAATGTAAGAAGGACCGAGGGGAGTGAGGTCAGACGGCCTGCCTTTCTCCTTCGATCAGAGCCCATCTACCCAAAGCAAGCTGAGGAGCAAGACAGCTGCAGCATTGTACCAGTATAGCAGGAAGGAACATTTTTTAAATATGGGTCAGTTCTGGAAGGGATTGGTTAGGGTTAATCAGCAGGGAAACGTTGTATATTAGAGATAGGGCTATTGTCCTTTGACAGAAGCAAGCCTTTGATTTCCAGAGGACAGACAGCTCTTTAGGCCTTTACAGGCAGCAAGACTCAGACAGCAGATCAGACCAGCTCCATGCAGAGTAAGGCTGTACCTCATACAGGATTGGAGAAGCTTTGATCAGTTAAGCAGGGGTTGGCCCAATATGGGACACCAAAGCGACTTGTCTGCTAATGTGACCTACCACTCCTAAAGCCCTGGTCTCAGTGTCCTGGAGGGGTTCTCTGTCCCCAACCAGAGTGCCACTAAGGAGATGGCGCTTCAGGCTGCAGTCTCCGTCACTGCGGGCCATCCTGTGGGCAGCTGAGGGGTGCAGCATGGTGGCTTGGGTGTGTGTGGTGTGACACGGGGCTGCTTTGCGGCTTATTATGTTGAACAGTGACTGCTGCAGTAGTGAGAAATCAGAAGAATCACCAAAACCTTTCAGCCGCCCAGGACTAAGGGTTTGTCTAAAGTCACATGGACAGTGGTGGTGTGGCATGGCAACAGAAGGGCGGTGGTAGCTCCCTTCTCTTGACCTTAGGAGAAGCAAAGAGAGGCAGGCCTGGCACACCTGGCCTCTTTGCATTGCCAGCTGGTGATTATGATGAGAGGTCAGACTCAGAAGACTACTGAGGTCTGAGTGTCTGCGTCCCCCCCGCACAGGCTGTGTTGAGTTCTCACTGGTGGACACTGGTAGAGGTAAGATGCTGGTGTCACTAAAGCGACGGCACTCATTGTGTGAAGGGACAGATAGTACGGGCAGAGCACTCAGGGAGGGGAACCCATCCTTAGCCTCTGAGTGAAGATCAGGGGGGCTGAGCTCCAACCGGACCTCTGGTACTGTGGGGGTGGGGCTTACAGATCTCTGCGACTGAATGAGGGCATGCAGTTGGGCAATCTGGTTTGCCCTTTGACTGTCAAGAACAGGAGCACTTCCTCTCCGGGTTGTAGCTCCCAAACGAGTCCTGAGATCAGGGCTCAGTGTGGCCCCCCATACTTCCCCCTTTTCACAGGAGTGTGGATGATCTGTTAGAGGAGGGCTGCCGCTCTGGCACTGGTCAAAGAGCAACCCAAAAGCAAAACACATGTTACTCAAAATAGACGGATGAAACCCCCTAAAAAACAAACTACATGATGTGATGAGGTCAAACAAACGTGAGGGCAACTACACATGAATGTATGGGAAAGACATAGGTCATTTTGTTAGTGTGTGTTATTGAAGATTGATCTGTAAATGTCCAGAACAGTGTATGCATGTTGGCTGTGCAGAGGAACTTCCTTTTTTAATTGGGCCTGTGCTCAGGCGCACATGAGCGATGGCCACTTTTAAGGAATGTGTGTATAATAATACATCAAAATGTACAAGGTCCACCTGCGTGTGTATGCTTTTGATACAGACCTGCTGCGTTGCCATAGTAATAGGCTCCAGCAGGGACTGGTAGAGGACACTCTGCTGGCTGCTGTGGGAGTCTGAGTAGACAGTGGAGCCCATGCCACTATCCAGTGTGCTGTCTGCTGCAGGGACAGACAAATCATGCTCTCGTAAAGAAGTCAAGGTTAGGCTCATGTATTTCTGATTGGAGGAGAACACACTCTCTTACATGTCACTGAGGTTGCACTGGCTGGTAGGTTACGCAGCCTGTTGTGCTGGTCTGCCTCTGGCTCTTCTGGCTCCAGCAAAGGCTGCCCTACATGTGCTACCCCAGCGGAGATGCCCTGAGACGGAGTCATCTGGACCCGCTGACCCGCGTCAACTAGGTCCGCCGCCGCCGCAGCAGACACGGTTCTCTCTCTTCTCCATTTGATCAGTGCCACACGGTCCCTGATCGACTTTCCCACAGTCTTAGCATCACTCTCATGGAAGAAGCCAGACTCCACCTGACAAAGAAAAAAGGAAAGAGCATGACTTCCAGGATATTTTTAGCACGGAGCATGTGAGAGAAGAGAGGGCCCATTGTGTAAAAGAGAGAGAGAGAGAGAGAGAGAGAGAGAGGGAACAAGAAAGGAAGTATTTCAAGGGGATCAGAGTAGTGAGGAAGTATTCCCTTTGTCAGGATTATTACATCTGCATATGACAAAGGCAGAATGCATTGAACAGAATACATGCTTAAAAAAACGTTTCGTCTTAATATTTCAAAGAAAAAAGCTAATATGCTCTGCAAAATAAATCCAATGCTATTTAAAAAAACACATTCATCTTACTTGCAGCAACTTAAAGTTGCATGTAATGGAAAACACACACTTGTTACATCACATGCACTAGTAACACAAAAAAGGGAGAACTACGCCCATCAATAGAGACGAAACACATCTATCCTGTCGCTACAGAGTGATTCATTAGAGTGGATGAGGAGTGACCTGACATTGGAGCAAGCTGCCCCTACAATCTCATTGTGCTGTTGGCCCACGTGTCTGCTCGCGTGCCCAAGGCAACATGTTACATAGAGGCCTTACATTTGAATCCAAGCTTGACAGCCTGGACAAGGCCAAACCAGCACATAAAGATAAAGGGAGAGAGAGAGAAACAAATAAATAGGGGATAGGGAGGAAGAGAAAGAAAGAGATACTACATTTTTTTTGTAAATTATTTTAGAGCGTGATTATAATGCAGATGACACACCTCACAGGCATTCACTTAAGATTTCATGAAGTCTACTTGGAACATCTGGTAATACATTGCAGATGCTGCTCAGTCCCCAAGCCTCGGTCCTAACACACATCTGTTTCAAAGCAAGTTTGTTTGAGGTCATTTTCAATAGTTCCCCTGAAAGGACATTCTGAACCTTTCTCCCTCCTCTGTTGCTCTCCCTGAGGTTTCTCCCATTTTTCCCTTTAAACTGTGGGTTTTCTCCGGAAGTTTTTCCTTGTACGATGTGAGGGTCTAAGGACAGAGGGTGTCGTATTGTCATACTGATATTCTGTACACACTGTGAAGTCCACTGAGACAAATGTAACATTTGTGATATTGGGCTGTATAAATAAACATTGATTGATTGAACAAAATGATCCTCCTTTTAAAAGTCTTTAAAGGTCTTGGTTTCCCTACTGTTTCTGATCATGTGTAACCATTTCCTTTTATTTCCTTCTATTTTTTAAGACTGTTAAAGAACAAAGCCTGGCAGTGAATATGTTTATATTTTCCATCTGAACTTCAGCTGTGTTAACTCAACTCTTTAAACTCTCCTAATCCCATCCCCAATAAATAATTTCATGGTGCTGCAGAATGTTAGATGAGTGATATAAAAAGGTTTAAGCTTGGTTTAATCATGGCTCCCACACTGAGCCTTTTTCTGGGCCAGGTTTTTATTGGGCCTGTGGGTGCTTGATCTGATGGCGTTCAATCAAAGCAATGTAAACCAAAAAGAGAGAAAACAAAACCCCAATCACTGTTTTCCTGAAGGAGCACAGCAAGTTATCACCATCTGCATTTGACAGCATTCCCCATTGATGAGATAGGAGTAATGTCAGCAGCTAGAACACACTTAACCCGAAAGACAAACAAAGCATGACAAACACGGGTTAAAGCTAAGGTAGGAGTGTTTCCTGGACGCAAAATAGGAGTTCTCTAGATAAGGATTATTTTATGTCTGAAAACAAACTCAGACACGTTATGCTTTCATTGAAAGTGGGTTTAGAAGGACTTCGAAGGGGTCAAACAAACATTTTTAAGGGTAGGCATCACAATGTTGAACAACAAGTAAATGAATCACAGGATTCCTAATCCCGATTCATCTCCAAATATTTGATGTCCCTAACCCTAACCCTTTTTCTGACATAAATCACTCACCATCTCTTGTGCCACGACCTCAGGGACGTCCTTTTCCAGGTCAAACATGAACTCGATGGCACCAGTCTCCTTGTATTTTCCTTTTAGCTTCTTGTGGTCCTCCACCCAAAGTTTAAGGGCTATCGAGTCCTTTTTCCCATCATCATCCTCAGCTAGCTCCACCCTAACGCCTGTGTCCTCAGCAAAGAAGGCATGGTTCAACAGCTCCTTGATGGTGTACCTGAGAGAAGAAACACCAAAACTCAGGCAATAATGTGTACAGAACACACTGCTGCCACTTTTCTGTAATGTACAGTGTTTGCAGATAGCATCATAACGGTGGGCTGCATGATTTCATTTTCATTTAATTGAATCGTTTATTTGAACCCGGGACAGTGCACATTGATGAACACTTTAAAACAAAAGTGTAAATGAGCCGGATTTGAGCTTTGAGCTCATTTCCATCCGTAGTCCCGTCACATACAACATATAAGAACATGACATTTGTATACATAGCAAAAAGAAATACATGATATGCAGGAAGCCACGGCAGCGGAGCGGGGGAGGCGAGATAAGGCATGAAAGATGAGGCCTTGTTGGCCCGAGTGGCTGGAGGCTGGACAATGATGGGCACTCACCGCTCCTCTTTCTTTTGGCAGATACACTCCCCAATAATCTCCTTGATTTCAGGGTCCATGACCTTGTTGTAGCTGGCTGGCTTCACTCCCTGAAGAGAGGGAAATATCAACAGATGCTGAGGGCACGCAATGGAAGGATGTTGTGGTAATATCATAAAAATAACAATAAAGGAAAAAGGGAGATGTTTATGCGACGCTCCACCCTAAATCTTATCTTCATCACTCACACCAGTGACAGAGCACGGCAGTCGAGGTCGGCCTGAATCCAAGTCAATTGCACTGATTTGGAAAAAACGGATTAAAATAAATCTTGAAAACCACTTCTCTTTATCTGAGATCAATATGTGCATCAAATGACAGCAGAAATGACCTTGGTGAGTTTATTGTTTGTGAACTACAATGAGAACAAATCTGCCTTAATGTTGCTATGGCATTTTAACTTTTCAAAACATCCCGAGTGTGGATGGATCGTGACAGCAGAAGTGGTTTGAGAACTTTCTATAGACATTTCCATGCTCTTCCTGAGTTCCATACTCCAAATATTTGTAGTTGTAATATTTTTGAACTACTTTTAAAAACGGTGGAATTTCTGGTAATCCTACATGTTATTAGATCGGCATTCTGACAACACTTTCTGCATTTAAGTAATGAAAAATATGCATTCTCTAGATTGAAGTTCCTTCTAATGATGCACATGCTCAGAGAGTGGTATAAAGCTATCGGGGCTTCTCTTTGATCAATCTGCTATTAATATCCTGCAGTGGTCCCTGCAGGCCACTCTATGCATACAGTTACAATCCAGAGAACTGTATGAAGACAGCTGCACTGATGCTGCCCATCCTTTTCCACAGGCATCCAGGCCTGTGCTTTAACAGCAGGTGAAAGATTCATCTCTCCGATTCCCACACTGCCAAGTCTCAAGCGTGGAAAATCAATACCCTACATCAAATCAGCAATATTATCATGACTTTAGACACCCCCTTATCTAAAAACGGTTGCAGTATATTTTGCTAGCATACTTGAAACTTCAAACGGAATAGAATACAGCCTTCAGGCTTTATCTAAAAGGAGATTTGGACTCCCTCTGTGACTCCATATGGTTCATTAGTTATTCACCCAAGACACAGGGCAGAGCAGATCATGTACTCTGTGACAAATTGCTCCATTTCTGCATTTAAAAACAGTTTGTGTGCTGCTGCAGCTAAACCCATCTCTAACGTCATTTCTCAGTGACTCTGGAAGCATGACAACCCTGACTTATTACAAAATGCAAGCTACTGAGCAGGGTCTCTTTTAGAACACCTCTGGATACGTTGATTTTTAGAAACACAATTATAGAGTTAAACTGAATGTATGCTATGAAAATGAGAATATGTGTGACCATTTTGTTATATATATATATATATATATATATATATAAAAAATAATTATCTTTATATTAAAATAAATACATGTATTGGTTAAAAGTTGTAATGGATGTAGGCCCTGTTGTGTGCACACAAAATAGCAATAAATGATCCTTATAGTGTCACAGGTCTTTACAAGGTTATCATGGTTCCATCGTCTTCATCATTATCATTTAGGGCTTCTTAACCTATGTGAAGTATAAGAGTCAAATATTTCCCCAAATCATTATTTCTGACACTGTACAGTATCTGGACTCACACTAGTGACTTTGCGGTATATCTGAGCAGCATTCTGACACTCGGAGTAGGGATACTCTGAAGTGGCCATCTCTAGCATACACATGCCGAAGGCGTACACATCCACAGCCTCATCGTAGTGTTCCTCGTACATCTCCGGAGCCATGAACTCTGGGGTGCCTGAAGAGAGAGGATCATGCATATGTCGTGTACTTT